TTTAATCACAACCCGACCCTATTCCTAATTCAAATTCATATTACCAAAATGCATTAAATTACAAATTATCAATGTGATTGCATATTTGATAAATATTATTCCTAATTCTATTTACATATGCTAATTTTTTCGCGTTCTAAACTTATTATGAATCTTCCAACTACAACAAGCAACTAATTATTCAATTGATGGCCAATCAATTAAATAATGCAATGGGTATACAAAATCAATCAAGAAATTAATATTCTTAAATCAAAACAAATATGCAAATGGTTTATCATTCATCCAATACAATAGAAAAACTAGTCTAGCATTCTAATAGTTACATTATACAAGAAATATTGGAAAAACATCACCCGAAAAGAAGAGATAATGAAGAAAGTGACAAAATCCAATTTTTTGGCTTAAATCTTGAAAGTGGATGAATATTCTTCAATAAACTTGTATAATTTGCCTTGATCTTGATGCTAAGCCTTGTTCTTCTCCTCCCAAAATACGTAGAATATATGATTTTTAGGTCAAAATGAAGGTTCTATTACGTTTTGGGCGTGTTTAGGTATATATAGAATGTCAAGATATTATTTCCATGTAGAATTTATTCAGAATAAGGAAACTGGCTCATCACAGAAAATTTGGTCCGTGCTTCCGCACCATATATTTCATTGCACGCGCACTGATTAATGATTTTGCTTTCAGGTTGGAGAAAAAAAAGTGGTGCGGCCGCCATTGCTGGCACGCGCCGTTGCTACAAGCGTTGTTCCTCTCGATAATTTAGTCATAATTGTCTCTTTTGAATTGCGATTGAAGTGATTCAAAGTGCATTACAAAACTTGCTCAACTTACAATCTTCTTGAAATACAAATTTTCCAATTCGAATATTTGATATCCAAAACATGGGTCTCAAATTGAGGCTAAAAATTCGGAGTATAACTTCTTTGGCTGGAAATTGATTTATGAAACTGCTTCAATTCTATCTCATTCTTTGACCTCCAAGTGCATCCAATTGATGTCATATAATCTTCAATCATCGTTTTGTGATCCGAATCAACTATGGGGATGTTTACACTTTGGCCCCCCCTTCATTTTTGCACCTTTTTGTTCCTTTACTCCAAATCCATCAATTTGCATTGATTTCAACCTAACAAACATAATTAACACAAAATTATGCTAAAACTCATTCAAATTACTAACAAATTCCCTAATCTAATGCTTAAATAAGTGTATAAAATTCACTTATCAATAGATTACCGCTCAAACCATTTCTTTTTCGGTGACACAACATGCAGAAGAGTTACTAGAACTCTCATCACAGTTAAAATCTGCTGAGACATGGGCTAAACAAATACTTTACATTTCAACGACATATAGATCCATACATTCATTATGTATGTTGTATCAGATTACCTAAGCTTAGCAACACATTGCTAAAATACAGTACAAATATGTGTTTTACAAGATTTTGAAGGTAATGTGAAATCAGGTGTACCACTCAGACAAATGAAGTATCTGTACAAGAATGCCACAATGTAAATAGTGCACGACTTAATTCTTCTTTTGGTAGTTTCAGGTGGTTCCAACATCAAGCATAAAATGATTCAAAAAACATAGACATTTGAGATATGAATCAACGCTACGAAAATTGTGACATGGATATCGAAATATAAGGTTTGATGCATTTTCATGGAGGATTATATCATGTGGAAGATGGATACGACCAAGTTATAGGTTTGGCTAAGAACATTCAATAGTGCTAAAGATGCTGCTCAAGCATATGATGAAGATGCCCTCAAATTTAGAGGAACAAATCTGAACTCAATTTTCCATAAAATGTTACTCGCCACATCCCATCTTCATTTTTATCTTTAGCTAAACCTATTCTTCATAATTAAACTCATAATCAATTGTGGAATCCTACAGAGAGATCGTTGACATCAGCATTTCAGTCTCCATCGATTTCTTCCGAGAGCATGCCATTTTTCCTTCCTTGTTTTCGACACAACTGTTGAGAATCTCAAGTTCGATGATAGTCAAAGCAGGAGGGAGAGGTAATATTCGGGATGATTCATCTTTTTTGGTAATGTAATTCGATTACAAAATTTTCAATAAAGAAATCATTATTCCTTACCAAATTTCAACTATTGAATTCTCGTTTTCTAGAATTGTTTGCTTCTGTGAATGTTTTCAACAGATACAATCGAGGAGACTCTTCTCGAAGCCAATTTATCTCAGATGCAGATAATGTTTCTTCAATGTTACCATTGTTGCTCAATTGGTATCATCTATTATTGATTTGAACTTGAATGCCAATGTGTTCAGCTTTTTCAATTAATTACACCCATTTCACTTGAGCCTCCACATTTTTAGTGTGAAAAAAGGGAAAATATTAGTTACAGTATATTGGGTTTCAATTAAGCTACTTTGCTATAATTTTTTTAATATAATGGTTGACATCCTCAAACAATGTGTGGGTCCTACGTAAATTAAAAAGTTTAAAAAAAAAGTGGGCCACCCCGCAAATGTGAGTGTCGGTCATCCATTATTTCAAAAAATTCTGTCACCATAGCATTATTATTTTGGTTTTCTTTTTGAGTGATGTGGTAGTTTCAAATTTTATTTTAATTATTCGTCCCAATTATATAGGCTTGTTTCGTTTTTCACACGGATTAAGAAATCTTCTTTAATGTCATTGGAAAATTAATTTTTGTCAAAATCTTTCTTAATTTACCCCTATTTAATTTTTAGTATATAGCAGTAAATTATTGTTGGAATTAGTAAGAATTTGAATGATTTAACTTGAAAAAGAAGAAATGAGAGTTATTCCATGTTTCCAAGAAGTGAAAATGTGTATATTTGGATTATTTTAAGAAGTTGGCAAATTAAGTGGGGAAAATTGAATAAAAGTATATTGGTAACAAAAAAAAATTCTAAATTAGGAAATAGGCCCATATATTGGAGACAAAAAGAAAAATGGATCCAACTTATATAATTGGGACGGATGGAGTATAAAACAAAATTTGTAATCTATTTATGATTTTTTTTCCTGAGTAGAAAAATGGAGTACCAGTTTAAAATTATTTCAACCCAAAAAAAATAAAATAAAATAACTTCACAACCTGTCGATTCATTAAGTGATATGTCGATGAATTTATAAAGTTCGGATCACTAATTCAACTGTTGATTGACTTAAACTTTACTTTTTGATTCTTGTGGAATACCACTTGAACAACCCCCTGATTTTGAGGGGATTGCTCAACCAGCAGGCCCCGGCCCCTTTATTCTTTACTCCTTTTTCTAAATCAATATTCATGACTTGGGAAAGAATTTAGAGCTTGTTTGGAGATATTTTACAAAGTTAAAATGATTTTTAGAGAAAGTATGATTAAAAAGTAAAAAATAATTACGAGCCTCAACGAATGTGGTAGAAAATAATTTTCAAAAAATTTCTTCGAAACAGGCTCTAACTAATTGATTTGAGCTCATGATTAAAATTATTTGGTGGGGATTAAAATCAAATTTTTAGCAAGTTTTAATAAAGATTGATAAAATATATGATCCAAAAGTTTTAAATTCCGATAATTATGTGATTAAAATTAATTATCAATTTTGAAAATCTTAGATTATTTTAACAAGTCATGATCCCATGAAGGCATCAACCCATCATTAACAGCTTACTTTTAGGCATGCAATGGATCATAACCACCTCCACTACAGTCCACACGCTTGTCGTGTTACCCTTTAACTACATACGTGTCACGTCACCATGCTATTGGTATACTCTCCGCCAAAAAGAATATCAGTCACACTCAAAATTACCCCCACAATTTCCGTAAAGGTGTGTTTGGCTTGAGGGAAAACGGAGGAGTATTCGAACAACGTTTTCATATAAATATTTTTCGAAAAAATGATTTATTTTTTTTGGACCAAATTAATTTTTGATTTGAAGGAAGTAAAAATATTATTAAAAAAAAATACAGTTCACTCGTAATCTACTAAATTAAATTTTTTAGCTCAAAATCTCCTTTTATAGAAATAAGAACACCCAAGAACTTTTTCAAACCTCTATTTTTTACTTAAGAAAGGCAGGAAATTTAACGTTGTAAGAAAAATACGAGAAGTAATAAAATAAAGAATAATGATGTTGTACACTCATTTTGACAGTCCCACAATTATTTTAATCTCGAGATCCACTCGTGTGATGTGAGAGGACTGTCAAAGATGGTATAAAAAGTATTGTAATTAAAATCATTTTTGACCGTTATTTAAAATTAATTTTTTTATCGTTATTTCACTATTTTAATCATCATTTTTGAATTTTTCTCTCACAGGTAAGACCTATTTTGCATCTAACGGTCAAAAAATCAATTAACAAAATTTCTACCAAACAAGCACTTAAATTATAGTTAATATCTTCGATCTTTTCTCATTATAACAATTATTTCCATAAATTTTTCATTGAATTCTTCTTTTTAACCTTCCATTAATTAGTATGTCGTCTTTGATGATAATTCATATCAAAATATTTAATTTTCATGCTTCGAAATAAAAATAAAATATTTTTTCGTACTTCTTATTTATTTTCTTAAAATATGATGAAAAATAAGGAATTTCACGGCATTTCAATGGATTTTTAAACACGAAACTGTTATCAAATATAAAATATATTAATTAATGAAAAATTTTAAGAATAAAAATGATATAAAAATCGTTAGGGACATAAATATTATAATAAGCAAAGATTAAGAGCCTTAAATGCGATTAAATATAGGGGAATAAGAAATAAAAATTGTAATGTGAATATAATTACGTTCGAAAGGAATGTTGTTGCCATAATTTAAAGATAATAATTGAAATATTAATTACAGAAACTTGTTCCAGCAATTCAACTACGAGTCAAAATATTTGGAATAGAAGATGAATATTTTATTTATTAAAAGAAAAAAAAAAACTACACAAGTAAGATTCTTTCTTCCCCGTGGCCACTGAACCAACTCCAAATCCTCTCTCTCTCTCTCTCTCTGTGTTTCCGTGTTACACTACTTTCCTTTCAAGTTTCAATGGCATCTTCTGTAACCATAGTAAGTCTTTTTCTGGTAACATTTTCTCTATTCTCACCGTCACAGTCAGCCTCCTGTCAGTCACAGACTTTCACCAGCAACAGGATTTACACTTTCTGCAATGATCTCCCTTCACTTAACTCCTACCTTCACTGGGCCTACGACCTGGCCAATTCCACCCTCTCCATAGCCTTCATCGCCGCTCCGGCGAAGCCCAACGGCTGGATTTCATGGGCCATAAACCCAACCGCCACCGGCATGGTCGGGTCCCAGGCCCTGATGGCATTCCGGGACTCCAAGGGCGCAATGACGGTTAAGACGTATAATATCAGTTCATATGGTCCTGTAACGGAATCCAAGGTGTGGTACCAGGTGAAGGAGTCTTCGGCGGAATTTTCAGGCGGGATGATGCGGCTTTTTGCTACTATTGTGTTGCCGGAGAAGGGGAAGAGTACGGTGAACCATGTGTGGCAGGTGGGTCCTTCTTTGACGGCGGGGATGCCCGACAAGCATGAACTTCAGCCGGCGAATTTGAACTCCAAAGGGAGCCTTGATTTGTTAAAAGGACAGAGCGCCGCTTCTAACGGTGGTGGAGACTCCAGGACCAAGAAAAAGAATGTAAGAAAATGCAAATTTCTACTGTATTTTTTACTTGTTCCAGTTCATTCTTGCTTTTAATTTTGGGTTTGATTGAAAAAATTGAAGATTCAAATTCTGGGCAATTTTACATTTGATCTAATTTTTCCATGGATAACAATTTCGTTCATGTTTCCACTTTTGTCCAGTACATTGAATTTCAGAGCATTGAAAACTTCTTGTTGAGTAGTAATTGTCAAGAGAAATCTTTTGGTCGCAGATGATAAAGTTATAAATGAAATCTATGTTACTGTGCACATAGCTAGTTTCTACTTCTTGCCAAAGTTTTAATTTGGGAATTGGGATCTTACTAATAAATACAATATGGCGATACTTGGTTCAGATTCATGGGATACTGAATGTTGTGAGTTGGGGAATTATGTTTCCAATTGGGATCATTATCGCGAGGTACGTGAGGGCATTTCCATCGGCCGATCCAACATGGTTTTATCTTCATATCTTCTGCCAAGTTTCGTCCTACGCCATTGGTGTTGCTGGTTGGGGGACAGGTCTTAAGCTTGGAAGTCAATCCAAGGGCATTCGTTATACTGGCCATCGCAATATCGGGATTGCTCTCTTCTCGATTGCTACTTTGCAGGTAACTTTCGATTTGGGATATCTTCGAGCAAATCTGTTAATATGATACTGTCCTGACTTCAAATTTTTGTGGATATGTCTTGTTCTTGTAGATATTTGCATTGTTCTTGAGACCCAAAAAGGACCACAAGTATCGGTTTTACTGGAACATCTACCATCATGGAATTGGCTATACAATTCTCGTTCTTGGCATCCTCAATGTGTTCAAAGGTTTAGATATACTCAATCCGGGACCCAAGTGGAGGGATGCTTATATTATTCTGATCGCGGTTTTGGGAGGCATTGCTCTAGTATTGGAAGCAATCACTTGGATAATCGTATTAAGGCGGAAGTCGGGAATGTCAACCAAACCATATGACGGGATCAAAACCGGTCATGGTAGGCAAGAACCTCTAGCTCCATGATCATATGTTTTATTCACTTATAGCACGTTCGGGTTTATACCATCCTCTTTCTATTCGCTTGTTTGAGGTAATACGAGGGTTAGTTGTTTGAGATTGTGGGATTATTGCTTATTTTTATTTCACCTCATGTATATTAGTTTGTGTAATCAGTTTGGTATATACAGCAAACACGAATCGAGTCTATTATCTTGTATACTCTGTTCTTTTGTATTTCTATTCGTATTCTATAAATTGCTAGTTTTTGCGTTTGAGCATTTTCCTAGTACAAGTTCCACCATAAAAAGGATGTTTGCCAACAAATGTAACAACTTTGTAACTGTTGGCAAATGTGTGGCTGGTGGGTTTATGATGACTTGTGCAGTTGCAATTCTTATTTTAAGAACTCTTCCTAATCCTTTTTCCTTCAAGAACCTTGATATTTTGGATATAGGAAAGAATTTGAAAGAGTAGCAAAAAAAAATTATTTAGTTCGTTTTATATTTATAGAAAATAAAATATAGTTTTTTTCTTGTTATGTTCGATTGTTTATTGTTGAAAGTCGGGCCTTTCGTGGCTATTCATTGTGCTTGTTGTGTTCGACACAACGGGCATTAAGTTCTTTTGAAGTAGTGTTATTTGTATATCATTGTTTACATAATAGTGCATAGATACTCTCTTTTATATCATTTATCTGTATACCATTATGTACACGTTGCTGTACAAAAATCAACTTAGAAATTTGGAAGTTAGAATTTTCAAAATCTGGATAAAGAGATTGGCCCACCATTGTAATCATTTTTTAACATAGTGCAAGTCTATATTCCTCGCATTTCTTCAGATTTATCTTCCAATATTTGAATTTTGTAACACGTCTTGGACAATATGATTCACAATCAAAGCAAAAATAAGTTATTTTTTGACAAAAACTCCTACGCACATGCGTGTAATCTGATCATCATTGGCACTCGGATTGAGGTTTCAACGTGCCTCCCACATGGACCTTCCTAATTGATTTATAAAGAAAATTAATTCTAATAAAGAAAAAGAAAGTCTAAAACACCCCGGTTGGGAGCCTCCCAATGTCCCACATGGACCTTGGTTGTGTAAAACACAATCCCTAACCAACCAAGATAATGAAGAATTTCTTTAAAACTTTTAATAATATTATCAACTTATATTTTATTTTGTTTTCAACGGGTTTCTGATTCTTAATTTTTATATTTATGTTACATATACATATAAAAATTTAAAGAAATTAATGTATAGAAACCAATGTTGGAAATTTTTGAAAAAAGTGTTGTCAAAATTAATGTCTAGAAATCTAATAACTCGTTAGAATGTCAAATTAAATGTAAACAATGATGTATATGTAACATGATTGGATTTATTTAAAGAAGCAATTCAAATAATTTGGGATGCAAAATTGAGTTTTTTAAGACAATAATATAAAAAATTATGGAGCAAATGTTGCAAATTCTGTCAATGATTGTCGGTGATATGGAGGTAAACGATGCTTCATTCACCGACAAGACGTCATTGACAATCTTTGATGGTATAATTATTGGTGATTTTAATTGAAATCAATATATACTGGTGATTCAAATAATATTATCAGTATTGATACTGTTGGTAATTAGTGATACACATTTGTCAGCGATTACTTACGGTAGTGTCCTCAATTATTATTGAAAATCATCGAAATTCCTGTGTTAGTGATTACCAATGATAACGTTGTTAATTGTTATCGGAAAAGGAGTCCCAATTTTTGAACTCTAAACCTTTGCTGTAAGAATTATACCAATTGTACATCACTTTTTCACATCATGGTTGACATCATCCATATTGTCAAGACTTGATTGGAATAAAAAACTATTTTATTCTTAAATTGTCCAATAATATGATGAAACGTGACAAAGTGTAAAAGATAGTATAAAATATGAGGTACATTAAGTATGATTGGCTGTGTAAAACACAATCCCTAACCAACCAAGATAAAATAAATAATTTTTTTTAAGTGTTCAATACTTCAATTTATGTTACAAATACATATAAAATTTTAAAGAAATTAAATCTTTAATATCGAATTATATTTTTTTCACCTATCAATTTTCTTCAACCTAAATAACACTATCAAATAAATAAATAACATATTCAAGAAAGTCATTCTCTCTAACAATGTTTGATTTGAGAGTGGGCCCTCATCCTTCGTTTTCCTTTCTACTTCTTTCATCTCATTATGCTCCTCACTTTTGTTGCTATTCCTTTTCCATAATCATGTTTATGGGAATCCCTTATGACTTTAATGCATTATTTTTACTTATGTGGGGGTGAAATGCCAATCTTTGTAAGGCCAGTTGTTAGAAGGTCTTACATTGTCGAACACGCGTTTCTTAAAACTTTACAGTTGAAAAAGTGGAAAAGTGGAAAAGTTTGATATGATGTTACCATTTGGAGATTTAATCCTTGAACACAAAAGAACAAGACTATATAATTTAGTTAATAAGATTTTAATCCACTTTGAAAATTGATAAAGTGAAGTAAACAATATTAACAATATTAATTAAAATTGAAAAGAAGATGAACTAACGTTTATTTTTTAAGTGTTGAAATTTTATTTGATTCTACATGCTGATATACTCTCACTTAGGAGGTGCTTGTAACTTAAGTGCGTATAAAGTCATTTATTAATAAATTTTTACTTCTACGACGAAAAGGTGACAATGTCCCATCGACATGCACATTTTATCTTTAGTGCAATTGAGGACACGTTTAATTCCTACCTATCTTTTATGGGAATTAAATATTGCCAAAATAAACATTTAAATAGAACAAAGCATCCATGGACTTAAACTTTGGAAGACTTTAAGCAAATCCCATAGTAATCCATGTTCAAGGGCAAGTAGGGTTTCGACATTTGTTATGCCATGTCGCCATCTAATGCGATATGAAAATTATCATTATGTTGTATGTCATGATGATACTCAAATGATGAAATTAAAAATGAAGGGTAAAAATTCGACAACGTTAAATAATATGAATAAAAAATAATTTATGTGACTATATTTAATTCTTTTCAGTACTCAATATCAAATTAATTTTGACTTTAAACGAGGTAGTGGAGAATTGTTAGAGAAAATGGAGACAGTCAATCCCTTGAGACACACACTGTCTTCAGTGTGATTGAGGCATACTTAATTCTCACCTATCTCTATGTGAATATAATATATATCCAAGAGATAAAATAAATATGTGAATATAACATATAGAAGAAATTACTAGAAATGTCTAATTTCACATATTCATTTGCAAAAATGTCTATCATTGCAAAAATAGACATTTTTACAATTAAAAATTTTATTAGTCATTAAAATTTTGACACATAATCTGCCTCATTTATTTCAAAAGTGCACATATCAAATCACAATAAATGTTATTTTTTTCATTGACACATAAATATCGAGAACTACATTTTAAGAAATATCATGTTCGAAATGAAATGTCATTCTAAACATCTAATATGTCCAGAACAACATTTAAAATGTCTAGAACATTTAACGTTGTGATTTGACATATGTACTTTTGAAATATAAACGGGGTTCAAATATCGAAAACGACATTTGAAATGTTGAGAACATCATTTTAATATAACTTCTCATGGAAGTTACTTCTCGAAATCTGCGCCAAATTGGAAAAAAATAATTGCTTCATTTTTCATTAGGGTATAATAGACGGTTTAGTACTAAATTTAAAAAGTGAACATTTTTTAATTGAGACCCATAAAATTGGACATTTTTTAAAATACCTCTAAAAGATAATAGGTATAAAGTATGTTTCACCCACTTAAAAAGTATGATGTTCATC